GCCCTCCTCTGGCTGCCAGGACTCGCCTTTCAGAGCGCGTTTGGAGCGTCAAAAGCAATCAAGCATCAGCGAGGAGCCCTGGCAGCACTGGCCCCGGCCCCATCACGCGCCTGAGGCCGCCCATTACGGAGCCTCACGCTCCCCGAATTGCATGTCTGCTATGATTTAACGCTGCGAGACATGAAATAAACACCGCGGGCAGGCAGGGCTCGCGCAGCCCCCGCGCCGGCGCGGGGCGTGCAGGACCCTCCTGTGCTCCTCGGGGATGCTTGGGCTCGCTGCATCCCTGCAGCACTGCGAGGGGCTGGGGAGGCACACGGGGTCTCTCCTCCAACATCCACCCTGTGCAGCTCCAAGGCACAGCACAGACTGAATGCCGTGCTCAGCGTGGTGCTCTTGGAAAACTGAATTCAGTTGGGGGATGCTGGTAGCTATGGCCTGTGGGTGCAAACTGGGTGGCCCATGCAGTAGCCAAAAATTGCCTGTGGCAGGTACCAAGCCTGTCCTCACTCCAGCAAAGGAGCCCAATACCTTTAAATCCCCCAGCAAAGGGAGGGGAGTGGTTTCCTTTCAGTCCTCTCCTCCATTAGACACCCTTCAGGTGTTTGCAATACTCTACTACCATTTCATTACCATTAAAGACAGGTAATAATAAGTACATGAAGGTATTTGGAGCCCATTGCTGTTAATGAAGGAGATCTGGCTCATCCCGAGCGGGACAGCAGCCACGCGTCGCAGGCTCAGTACCGTCCAAGGTCAGGCAAGGATTGCCTTGCTGAGAGCAGACCCGACTAGTGTTTCATCTTGTAGGACTGTCTTTTGCTTTTTCCTTGTATTTTCTAAAGGTGGCAAGCACCAGAGGCTCCTGGGGTGGGAGGTGATGGTGGGCTCCAGTGCCACTGCCTCGGCACAGACCCCATCCCCAAGGCAGGTTTGCAGCAGAGATTGTGCAGCTGCCTTGACCTAAAAACCTTGTGCCTGCCTTCCTCCCCTTTCACCCAGCTCTTCTGCTGTGGCTGGAGTTTTTGGGAAGTCTTTCCAATCAGGAACCACAGTACTTCCAGCCTGGGTTCTAATGAAACCACGTTGGCTGTTATGGGTATTTTCCCCTTCATTTTCTGGAGGAAATTAGAAAGATTTCAAGGAAATTGGAAAGGTTAATTCAGGCTGAAAAGGCTATTAGCTTGTGGTGTAAAGCATGAAAATGTCTTGGAGAAAAGTCTCCTCGCTCTTGTTTCTGTTGGGATCCAGTGTTGGCATGAAGGACTGTGGTAGTGCTGGAAAGGCTGGACAATGCTGCACAGTGTGTGGGGACAGCCCTGGAGGGGACAGTGCTGGAGACGTGGTCCATTCTGGGTTTCTTTTTTTTTTCATTTCACTGCAAATTGCTTCCTTCTGCCAAGTCAAGGCTGCATAGAAAGCTCTCAGGACATGGAAGGAGTGGGGTGAGGGCAGGTCTGCAGTTCTGTCTTGGCGTGTACAGTCCCCCTGCAGGAAATGATCTTTGATGTAACGGTGCTGTGACTGCACTTGATGCTGCAAACCAATTGTTCTGCACTCTAATTAGTCACCACAGCATTAAACAGGCTGCTAAACATAACACAGAGTCTGGACAAACCTGAAGCTAAAAATGCAGGGCTGAGTATATCTTTGTAACCAGGACATTCAGAGTTTTTATGATTAATTTTATGTAGGAAAAGAAAATATAATACAGGTTTGGCAAAGAGTTTTCCTTTAAGAATTTCTCTTCCCTTTAAGAGCCTGGGAATATATTGTGCTGAGGAAAACACCCGGTGGGGCATAAACCCTATTGATCCAGTGTTGCATCCCGATTTTTGGATGAACACAACCCTACTATTAATTTTACGATTAATAGTGCTTTTTAAGGTAGGGAAATCCTGGGGACCCTTCCCTGAGCGACATTCCTCAGCATCCCATGGAGCAAAAAAAAAAAAAAATCAGTGACCATCACCCTCTCTCACCATTCACGGCCCAGCGAGCCCTCGAAAAGGGGTGGAATTTCTTACCGTGTTTGCATTTCAACCACGACGGTTTTTTTTCTCTGCAGATCGAGCAGCACCGAGACATTTACCTCATCACCTCCTCACCCTCTCACCTTCCACCTGAGGCAACTCCAGAACAGGCCACGCTGATATTCCTATACATCTTCCGGAACAAAAAGTGAGGGGTGCGCTGGAGCTGCCCGGACAGATTACCCGGACGGACACGGGGGGCGCACGGACGGACACGCGGACGGACGGACGGGCACGCGTCCGCGTGC